GCCGCCAGTATTTTGGGAGTGTTTTGCAATAGGATGTTACCGAACTGAGAAGTCAGGTGTCGCGTAGCCTCCTATTCTCAGAATACTAGCATACTACAACTATCAATTCCCTTCTACGGCTCAGTTCCTGTCTCAAAGCGTACAAAACTGCACTGTAACGCACTGCAGGGGTAGGTCTCGACACCCTTCATCGCGAGGTGTGAACAAGACATTTTGGCGGGCTTTCGGAGTATAAAAGGCTTGTTCGCGGTACTGGTTCAGTCTCTTTGCTGCCAACCACTCCCAGCGGGGAGCTCACGCCATTTTTTTATTCTCTATCACTAGTTTCGCTCTTAGGGTCACGAGATCGACCGGACGTCACCGCAATCGAGTGGGATTCAGCGCCGATTTTCTCAGATTACCTTCCCCCATAGACAGCGATTTCAGAACCCCGTCGTCGCACTCCTGCCTATTCCCTTTTTTTGTGTTGTGTATACTTTCGTAGACTTCTAGTAATTGCGTTTTCTTCTGTCCATTTTGCTCTTATTTCGTGTTGTTTTGAACTGTCACCTAAACAAACTTAAACTGTGTTGTTTTAAACTGTCACCCTTTCGTATTCGAGTACACCAGTGGTTACTAACCGTCATATCTTATCACACTACACATAACTCTTAGTCCGGCAATGAAGGTTCCATTGCGAAGGACAAGCTTTTGAATGACTCAACCGGGATGAAGAGGGCAGGGGGAGAGGGCAAAAAAAACTATGGGAAACACTATAAGTGATATTCACTTCAGAATCAAGCTCGTACGGGTGTACTGTAAAGGAACTTCTCACCTGCCTGTATCATGACAATATTACTTCTTCTAATCATATCAACTCACCATCCCCACGCTATTTTCAGCACAATCTCGCCGGGGCTGACATCTATACTACAGTGATTCTGGGACTGTTCGCTTCTATTATAATTCTGCTAATGGTCCGTTCAGTGAGATCAACAGAGTCGTTGGATGAGCAGGTATTGTCACAAGAAACTTCGCAAGAAACCTCTAGGAGTCTTCCCAGAGCCATATTGGGTGGTCGCCGCCCGCTGCCACCTAGTTATGATAACAATGAGGCCAGCGCTTCAGATCAGAGAGGAACCTATAAAGGATTCTTCGACTGTTCCATGGTTTTCATGGACTGTTCCATTCTTTGGAATCTCTTGTTTTGTAAAAGTTTTAACACTTAGTTCTGCATTGAGAAATTTGTTTGATCCAATAACAGCTGTAGGAATGCAGCGATCGAGGAACTCAACTGAAAAATGACATAAAAGGTCAGAGCAACTCTAGGGTTTGTAAATCTCAGAGTAGATATGTCAGTAACACTCATGGTGAGATATACCGCGTGCACGATGACGGTGACCTGACCGCTTATAAATTAGGACAAACGCACGGCATACAGTACCCCCAAACGTTGCGCGCGAAAGTGAATGTGTTGGATCCCTAAATGCACACAGTTGGGCATACGGCAGACCGATCTGGTTACTGAAGTCTATTGGCCTGTCTTGTACGTTTGTTGCACAGCATGGCTGATGCACCTCTCATCACTGACACGGACCATTACGCGTACAAAGGGGAAGGGGCTTGGAGGCCAGGTACGCCGTCTGTTTCACTAAACCTTTAAAGTTGGATGACCTATCTTACCAGGAGACTTTCGTGATTCTTGAGATACGTGACAGTTCGTTTTGGTCTCTTAAGCCTTCTTGTCCTGGCTGCGCTTATGAAGAGTGACCTTAAAGGCGTAGGTCACAATTCAAGTAAGGCAAATATTGTTTTACAGGTAGTCACACTTCTCTCGTCAATGCAAATGCGAATTGAGCACGACGAAACGATGCGGCACAGAAAGTCGATGAGGTGACGTCAGTTTGAGGTCATTATGAAAATATAGACCTTCAGATACCACAAGTGTAAAACGTTTCTTGTGAGCAAAGAACAACTTATGAAAATTAATACTGAACGGGGAAGCAACTGATAAAAATGTCAGTGAACAATAACGAAACAATTTTCAAATGTGTTCATAAGAGCGTCAAAACAGCATCTTGTTCGTAAAAAGTCATGGCAGAGAGGAAATTTTCTCCTTTTGTGGATTCGCTCTGTATCTTTAAATATGCTCACTTGACACTATGCACTCTCCATATGAAGAGGGCGTAGCACCGTACATTTGATGGCTGCGCTTCTGGTAGGGAATCGCCGTTCTGGAACAACTTTTATCATGTAGTGTTCCTAGAAAACTAGAAAAGCACTAGAAAAGGTGGCTCCTGTCTCAAATCGAAGTATTCCGGAAAGGCGTCCTCCAACGCCATGTTCAAACGAGGCACACAGTTACGCCTCCCCCATCCCCGGGATAAGGAGTGCAGTTCTCGAGAAAATGGACCCTAAAAAGGAGTCACGAGAATTCGCGTGTACACATTTTGTTAAAGTCATACGCATTTTGGCAAATCTTTCACCATGATGCAATTATGTCCGATGAAGCTGTTCTGCGAGCTACTAACCGAATTCTCAACGTTGTGTAAAAAAACCATCAACTAGACGTCGTCTGTATCAAGGATAGAAGCTCAAGAGACCGTGAGCATGAGCTTGAACAATCAATGCGGCATTTCTCATTGTCAGTCGACGAGCAGCCAAGAAGTATGACTGCTTTAGGCGGCGTTCAGACTTCGCGGTTGCGGCCTGGTCGCGCCTTTGACGCGATCGATGCGCATGCTTCCGACTGCGTTGATCCCGTCGAACGCGCGACCGAAGCGCTGCCGTTGCACAGCATGAACGCTGCCTTATCTTCAGGAACAGCCAGGTCCTACAGACGAAGTGCAAGCTGCGGGAAAATAAGAAGTGTAGAGTCTGAAAGAAATCGCACATAGCCGCCTTCAAGACCAAATGTTGTTGTCTCATCAGAACTTTCAAGGAAGACCTTTAGGCATCTTTGAAAGTTATGGAGGCGACAAGCAAGAGGTCATATGCTAGAACAACCAAACAGCTGATCTACATACATGATTAGGCACAAGTTTTGCCCAACATCCCAGCTAACCAGGAAAACCTCGACAAGGTCTGCCGAAGTGCAGAATCGGAATGAACTAAATACACCGCCTATCATACTCCGTTCTGAGTTTTTTTATTAGGTTTGGAATTTTTCTGAAAAGTAAATTTCAGCTCATCAAAAACAGCAGAATTTTTCCGATCAGGAGTTACGAAGGTCCAGCGTCTCATCATGCATTCTATTTAGGGAAGCAAAACGGAGAGCACAGATCCTTTTAGCGAACTTCAGAACCACAAGTATAGGCAGAGTGGTCAGCATGAGAACGAGAAGTGCAAGCTCTTTCGGTGAGTAGTTTTCACGACTTCTCTTGTTTGTGACATGCATGTAGTTAATAATCTTTGCTGAGCAAGTGAAAAACTGCCTCGATGAATTTCTTGAGTTCCGAGAATGCTTCAAGCGGTATATTTACAACCACTTCGAATTTAAAGAACGTTGAGATATACTTCAGAGACACATACCGGGAATACCAAGATGGTACAGCTCCTTGCCATACACTAGGATCCGGTCGCAGTGGTGTCTTTGATACGATGAGCAGCAAACCATTCGTTCAGAGCTCTGACCACAGCGGAGGCGGTCGTTCAGGTGTTCGTTTGACATCCCGTGGAATCCAGTCGGTAATCGCTCTGGTCCAGCGGTCGTCCTTCAAACGCATGACGTGCCCGGCCCACCTGATCTTCGAAACCTTGGCAAATGCGGCTGCGTCTCTGATCTTCGATCGTCGGCGGAGTGCGGAGCTCCGGATTCCCTCTCTCACTTGCGTGTAGCGGGAAACTCCGAGCATCGCCCTTTCGATGGCGCGTTGAATAACGCTGACCCATGTTCATGCTGCTTTCGTAGAGTCCAAGTTTCCGAGGCGCAAGGTTAAGGCATATGGCACTATAATTTGGCACTCGGTCTAAAATACTTGCAGGGTGCTATATAGTGGAAAAAATGGCGAAAAAAACGAAGTGAAGCAGTCAAAATCCTTCGTTCTTGTGTCAAAGCTATTCGGACGAGTTCCCGTAGGCATCTTGCCAGTAACCGCTACGGTAGAAACGGCTGCATTGTGTGCTCATATATCCATGCAGCACCGCAGCCGCTTCATATCAATCCCTTCGCTTCATATTTTACTTAGCAAATGAAGCAATACGAGCATCAGATAAGGGTCGTCCATTCATGGGCGGGCGGCGCGTTGGTCATCCCGGTGCATGTTGCAGCTTGATAGGGCCTCGTAGGGGGTACCTTCCTTGAAAAGGCGCTACGTTGTGCCTGCTCATTGTCAGAGGCGCAGAATTCCGTCCTGAGAAGCGTATTAATCCTATTCGTCTTGGTTATTTATCGGGCCAACCTCTTGAACCTAGGAGCACCACGGAATCGAAGAAGTGGGCACGGAGCCTGGCGTTCTGCGTCGTCTTCATACTCCCTCGATGCTCTTGGAGGCTCCCTATGTCGTTAATTAATCACATTGACTTCTCGTCCCAGGTACATCAATAAGGTATCTATAGATATTCACCTCCACTGCCTACGGAGTTATTAGGTCGTTGCAAAAGAAATGCAGGATTTTGCTTGCTTGTATTTCATACTTATTTTATTCCAATAATATGTTACTTTAATATGAAGTGTTATATACTATTCGGAAGCTCATCTCATGCTCTTTCTAAATGATACTCCAAGATTGGTTGTAATTCATTTTATTAATTTTTATTGACATTTTATTGCAGATGTCGAAACGTGAATTTCGCACTATTTTCTTCTATGAGTTCAAGCTAGGACGAAACGCTGCCGATACAGCTCGGAACATCAACGAAGTTTGGGGTCAAGGAAGTATCAACGAATCTACGGTCCAACGTTGGTTCCAGAAGTTTCGCTGTGGCAACACCAGCCTTGAAGATGAACTTCATGTTTGGTGGTCTGCCGCCGGTCTCATCCATCACAGCTTCCTGAATCCTGGTGAAACAATTACGGCAGAGAAGTACTGTCAACAAATCGACGAAATGCATCAGAAGCCTTAACGCATGTGCCCAAGGTTGGTCAATATGAAGGGACTCCACGATTCCGGACTCTTCTCCACGACAATGCCCGACCACACTTTGCACAATTTACCCTCCAGAAAATAAACGGATTGGGCTATGAAACTCTGCCTCATCCACCATACTCACCAGACCTGTCGCCCACCGATCACCACTTTTTCAAGCATCTGGACAACTATCTTAGAGAGAAAGGCTTCAAAACCAAGACGATGTCAAAAACGCCTTCAACGATTTTGTGGCCTCTAAAAAGAATTACAACCAATCTTGAAGTATCATTTAGAAAGAGCATTAGATAAGCTTTCGAATGATATATAACACTTACATTTTATTGGAATAAAATAAGTATTAAATACAAAAAAACGAAATCCTGCATTTCTTTTGCAACGACCTAATATATCCTGCCTCGCCACTCGATTGCCGGGGTCTCTTCCGTTTGAGCGATCGCACGATCTGAGACTGCTCACCGTCCACTGCTAATCTTTGAACCATAGAAAACGCGAGGAGAGTTTATGTTCTGACCGTGGCCGGAGCTCAGTAATCTAACCAATGGTTAAGCGCAATGGTCGCAGTCGCGCGATTTCTGAATATTTTCGAGACTGTATTGGTTCGGTCGCGAAGGCTAATGCCGTTTGGACTCCAGCAATTTCGGCACCGAGCTCATTTTTAAATTGCCTAAGTCGCCAAATACTAAAAACTGTATATGAGGTAGTTTATCATGCTGATTACGAATACGACATTCACCCAGGAGGCAAACGTGGTGTCCTCTCTTGGTGCCACTCTGTCGCTGGCACCAAGAAGAGGGAGGACACTACGATTACCTCCTGGGCTCAGCCTTAGCAGAGCGCAGATAATCGTAGTGTCATCCATTAGCGCCAGCGGCAAGAGTGAATGTCATATTCGTAATCAGGATGTTAAACTACCCCTATATACAAGTTTTTAGCGGATTTGGTGACTTAGGCAATTTAAAAATGAGCTCGGTGCCGAAATTTCTGGAGTCCAAACGGCATTAGCCGGTCGCGAAGTGTAACGCGGTCTCAGCTTTCTTCTTACTCATCTATTGCGCGAAATCGAAGACAAACTGCACTCTCACCTCGGAGAACGATGAGTTTGTAGTGCATAATTCCTTACTCCAAAGATATCTTTCAGCAGGAACTTGGGCGAAGTTGTTGAAAGGTAGGGACAACTTCTTGTGCTTTAGACTGGAAGTAGCTATTCTTATCGCAGTCTCTTAGTGTAATTCCTGATTTTCTTACTTCAGGTTCACGGCCTAGGGAGGCATCAGTGTGCAGTGTGCCAGCGCATCATATGAGTCTTTACGAAAGGCCTCCGATGAGAGCTCGATCATACAACGGTATTCTACCATCAATAGTTGTTCACGACGATATGGTTCCGTTTCGCACCTCGATGTCGTCCCCGCCTGCTTCGAGATGAAGCCGAAGATTTGAAGACTTCATGCAACTGCGATATTCTTTGAGCCTTTACTGAAAGAGTATTTATGCTTACCAATTTAGAAAGTTTGTACACTTCGTTTCTCTCCCTAGGTATTGTGGACTACAATTAGGTGTTGAAATGCTGTTGTCAAGTAATTTTCACTTCTCTACAATATTTTATTTTCTTTGTTAGGCTGACCGTTCTTTCCACGGCTGCTTGTTCAGCTATTTAGGAAGCCACAAAGGCAACTCGAGCAACAAGGACTGGAGTCCATGTCACGTGTTTGGAAGGGGTGTGTCTGCGCACTCAAAGATTGTCTGCGCGCTCAACCAATTCGTAGGAGCCCTTTCTTGATCATGTGGTCTTTCTCTGAGGTTGTCCATCTTTTGCAGCTCCACAGTAAGGTATTAGGTTGTCCGGAAAGTTCTCAGCGTTTTGAGTGTTTCACTTTAAACGATCATAACTTTCTTCATATCGAATCAGCACACTTTTGCCAATGTGACACCAGTCGAGAAATTGAATCAAAGGAAAA